CTTCTATTTGTCATAACAGTTCTTACTCTTCACTCTGATCACACCTCAGATCTCCCAGATACCACACTCTGTCTCTCCATTCTCTCTGACTCTGACTGATTCTCTCTGACTGCCTCTGACTCCGCCTCTTTATTACATATCTCTCGGCTCCGCCTCTTAGCAATATTAGCCTGCAATATGAATATGCATGACTACTACATAATAAGAGTGAACACTACTACAATGGATGATGCCCACTCTTGTCAGAGCTAGGAAAGGGCACATTTTTGACAGGTAGGCTAATATATCTTAACCAGTACAAAGCGTGGCCCTCCTGGTTGGGATGTTGTCATTCAACAACTAACGTCTTGGAGTCGTCACTTGAAAAGTAACTTTCCCCCACCGCTGTTTTCTCTTAGTGAAGTAGTCTTTTCCATTCTCTGCTCCCTCATTGGTGGAACCAGGAATGGCAGAGGTTGGGTTTCACCATGCTGATCTATGGCTCCTTGTGCTTTGAGCCCCATTCTGCCTTTCAGGGATACCTCAAAATGCTCACGGACAGATGTTCACATTGCTTTGCTAACGTGAGGACTGTGGGAGCTTTGCTTGCTCCTGTGTCTTTGCTCCTAAATTCTCCAGCCCAGGAATCGAGTGTCTGATCTCCATATATTGATGGGTAGTAAGCAGAGCCAAGGGAATTTAACAGCTAGAGAGCCATCTGCCCACTTTCAGGTTCTCTTGTACGGTGGTTGGATCAAGGTGGATTGTAGGCTGCAAGGAAGGGGGTGCAATGTACCCCCCCTCTCCAGTTGAATACCTAACAGGAAGCAACATCTATCCACTTTATCACCTTTTTCAATCCCATTTCTTTAGTTCTGAGAGTATCAACGGATCTGATAGCATTGGGATAAAACCATGTACATTTCATAAGTACATCTTTTAAAAGCTCAAACTGACTGCCTCCCCCGCCCCCTGATTCTGTTAAGTGATATTTTGTCTTCCCTAACCTTGTTCCCACTATATGACTTCCATCATCCTTAATCCATCTTGACTGTTGAGTGCTAGGAGCCATACATAGTTCAACTCACCTGGCGGGAACTGGTTTAGAAAAGAGCAGGTGGGGCGTGATATTTTCCCTAACCTTGTTCCCACTATATGACTTCCATCATCCTTAATCCATCTTGACTGTTGAGTGCTAGGAGCCATACATAGTTCAACTCACCTGGCGGGAACTGGTTTAGAAAAGAAAAGATGGGGCTGAAACCAGGAGAAGACCAGACCACCCTTTTCTCGTTTCCTCTTCATATAGTAGACTTCTGTGGAAGAGATGTTTAAAAGTTGCTTTTGGCCAGTGGCTAAGCTGACTATGAGATTCTGCAAGACTGCAGCTTGTAATCCCTCTCACCCAGCCCAGCCCAGCCCCCAAAGAACCTCGTGCGGTAGCCTGAATTAATCACTTGCAAAGAGCTTTTGAAATAAAGCGGAAGGTGGCATGCAGGCTTTTCATCTCTGCAAACAAGAGCAGAGAAAAAGAGGTTAAAACATGCTTTTGAAGCTGCAGATGGGCATCTACTCCATGCTTTGACCTGCCTTGCTTTGGTCAACCTACTAAGAACGATCTCGTGCTGCCATCTGCTGGATGTTATTATGGAATACCTCAAAATGCTATGGGGTTTCTACAGGAGAAGATTGCTTCATACAATCTGGTTGGCTTAGACCTAACACATGTCCAGATGGATGCATCAAGAAGCAAATTAATCCCAGTCCCCCTAAAGAATATGAAGAGAAGACTTTAAGGAGAAAAAGATTTATTGCTTATTATTTATGTAGATTAAAGCCATAGCTTCTGCACTGGCCTTGAAGCAATTTGTGGTACCCAGCGTAGTTTAGTGGATAGAGTGATGGACTAGAATTCAGAATAGATGGGCTCAAATCATTTGGCCATGCTTGCCCTGAAAGTCTTATTAGGATCATAATAGGTTGGATGGGACTTTACACATAGCATGTCTGCAGCAATGAAGACAATTTATAATTGATCTTAGTCATTGACTACAACTCCCATTAATCAAAGTTTAAAGTTATAGTTCAGCACATCTGATGGGAATGCAACATTTGGAGGGCTACAGATTTCTCTCTTATTTGTGCTAGGAAAGGCTTTACTTACGGATTTTTATTTTGATCTGTTGGCAATCCTACTTTGCATTTTGACTTCAGCAGGTCGGAAGGGCTTCATGTGCAGTTTTGCCTCAGTGGGCTATCACTGAGATTGCTCAGTGTTCCTGAAAAGACACTCTGCACATGCTCAGAGTGCTGACATTCCTGCTACTCAGAACAGTTGGGTTGGATGAC